AGGTCGTTCTCCACAGGGATTATTAAATAATTCGAAACTAACCAAATTTCAATTAATTATTGTAAAATAGAAATTGAGGTGATTGATTTTATAACCTACTTAAAATTAAAACGAAATTAATTAATTAAAGTAAACAATCTGCAATATTGAAAACTAGAAGGAAAAGAAAACAGTTTTGGGAGAAATCAAATTAAGAAAGCGCTTGGGTTCCACCATCACCTAGCAATCCTATGAACTTTTACCAATTACTTATGATCTACACATGTCACTTTGAAGGTTAGATTTTCCTAATTTATATTCTACTTGTAACCTCCAATATAGTAACCATATTCTAACCATCCGGACCGTTCGAATCAAATCTGAACATGAAAGACTCATTATGCTTTATGAAAATCCTTTGAAAAACCATGCAATCCTTAAGACGTGGTATTCATCCTAAATGAAATTACAATTATTAATCACAAGAAGCCAGCGTCAATTTCAGGGAACATTCCGACCAAAATTGCATCAAATTACTTTTCTAAAGATCCTAATAGTGATCAGGCATTAAGACAATTAGATAGTTTTTATCCCTGTGATTAACAATTCAAAGTATGCATGCAATCAATCATAAGCAATTAAATAAAAATCACATATTCATGCTAAGGCTCAAGGCTTCGCCCTAGCAATAGAAATTAGTTACTCATATTCATAATTAAAACCATAGAAAATATATTTAAGAAAATGATTGAAAGCACCTTCAAGTAGAAAATCTTCAAAACCCTAGCAATTCTCTCCGTCTCCAAAATTGCATAGAACGCTTACCGAAAAAAAATGTGGTAGACGGCTCAGCAATATATTTTCTAAACCACCACACAAACCCTAATCCCCATAAAAAAAAAAAAAAACATAACCCTAAATTAAAATGGTAAAATTCGTCTAAAATCTAAACAGCCACGTTTTAGACCCATAAGCTGCTCCAAAACTGGCCCAATATAGCTGGATTTAATATTTGGAATATTCTGAACACTTCTCCAGAATGCCACGAACCCATCTGAGGTCATCTTAAGCTCCAAAAACGCAATTTAAGCCCAAAAACGTCATTTTCCAGCACTGCGCATCGCTCCTTTATTTTATCGCCAGAAAATAACCGCTTGGTGGAAAAATCCCAAATTTTGATACGATCAAGCTAAGTGACTTACGAACGTCCTCCAACTGAAATTACTTCAAAATTTGTCCATTTGGTCCTGTTTTACTCCAGAGGAAGTTGAAAGTTCTATATTGAAAATACAATTCAAAGTATCAAAATTCTTTCAAAATATTAACCAAAATATACTAAGATTAGGGTAAAATATATAATATAAAATCTACTCATCAAAATACCCCTAAACTTAGCTTTTTGTTTGTCCTCAAGCAAAACAAAACTAGAAAACAAAAATAAAAACTTAACAAACTAAACAACTAGCTAAAATTAGCTAACAAAAATTTTCACCTTCAAAGTTGCAGTCCATAGCAAATTTTAAAAACTAGAACATATTTTCAAAAGTTCCAACCAATCCCACCACAGAGTCTAAGCCATTTAGAATCAATTAGAAAATAATTCACAAACTTCCCTTGGTGTAAAGTGAACCAACATAGTTAAGGAGACTCGACTAAAACCCTTACCTCTCGTCCTTCTTTATTTCACACATACTAACTTTAAATATAACTATTTTTCATTTTCTTTTTCTCTTCAATTTTTTCTCTTTCTTTTTTTTTCATATATAACAATTTTTTTTTCAGTAACAGTAGTGGTCGTGCAATGTCGGTTCACTTAAGATTTTGATCCAACCCATGTAGCGAGCTTTAGGTCAATGACTCCCAAACCACTAGGGTTTTAGGGCACTAGGTGTAGAACACCCCTAAGTACTTATTAACCCGAGCTAAAAAGGCTACGAAACTAACTAACCACTCTGCCCCATGCCAAAACTTTAACGTTTGACGCGAGAATCACTGCTGATTAGGCAAAACTGGCCTGGTTACTAGGCAAACCTTCGGGTGAGACAATTATTACTTTATAACACAATAATAACTGACTTTACTTAAAACAAAAATTAAAAATAAACTTAGACTAAAAGCAAGAGTTTCAATCTCACTCCCCACAAACCATGTTGGTGTGATGTGCAAAGTTCAAAGTATAATTCATGAATTAGTGTCTAAGCAAAGATAAATAGAAAAGACTTTACTATGGGATTAACCTTCACCATGTCCATTTGTTTTAACGTTTAAAATAATCTATGAATATTAACTTCAAAAGAATGAAAAATTTTAACTGACATAAAAATTAAAATCCTAAAATGTTATTTCCCACCCCCAAACTTATTTCACACTTTGTCGTCAAGGTGTGGAAAAATAAAAGAAAATAAAGCAACAACTTTACAAAGAAAGTTAAATAATAAAACGGACACTAACTAAACCTATGAATAATTAACCAAATAGGACAAAGAAATGACAAAAACGACATGACAAGGAACAAAAGAAATAACATAAAAAAAATGAGAAAGGAATGCACCTGGTAGAAGTGGAATCCATTGTGGCCTGACAAACTGTGGGCCTGGGAAGGATGACACACGAAGATAACTCAAAATCATTTGGAATGAAGCCCAGCCCGCCAAACAAAGGTCCAGGAAGAATGCAAGAACATTGGATTCCCTTGAAATGAATGGGATGCAGCTGGCATCCTCGAGCATCGAGCCGAACGGCTCTTCTCCCCCTTTAATTCAAATCGAGTCTATTGAACAGACATGGGAAAACTCCAGTTATGTACACGTGGCACGCATCACTGCATTGAGCTCCTTAGGATTCCAAAAGAATGGTCAGATCACTCTCACTTGTCTGAAAGCTTTGTAAACCGCAGGTCTCTCGCATTTCAATAGAGACCGAAAGAAGTCTTTCATTTCTCTCAGCCGCCACATCTCTTTACAATGAAAAATAGACCTCCAAAATGGAAAGAGTTTGCATTCTTTCTCACAGCAAATCTGAGAATGCTTTCCATTGTCTTCTCAGTTTGGCACCCCTCTTCATACAAACATTCCATTTTTTTTTCTATTTTTGTATTTTTCAGCCCTCTCTCGTTTCTAACCTCCTCATTCACAGTAGCTTCATCTTACCCCCGAAACGCTGCATCCGTAGACTTCCATAACCCAACAACAACCATACCTCCGTGAATACCTAACCTTGGTGGGAAATCTGAAAAACTGCAATGCGAAAGGTAAATCATTCTCAAATCTTTTGATTTCCTGTTCAGATTTATTTATTTGAGGAAAATGTACAAAATCTAACACATGCATGTGGTGTTATCTGTGTGAGGACCCTCAATAATGTCAAATCTGAGACAAACAACACAAGGAAAATGCCCTGAGTCGCCATCTCTTCTCAACCAAACCATGTGTCTTCCAAGCCTCACGCCATCACGGATTCGAGTTCTAAACATGTATATCGAGACCATTTCGCACATGCAACGGTAATCATCTCCCACTTAGTTCAAGATACATGTCTCTCAGCTTGCGAAAAATATCTGCAAGTTATATTTTCGTGATGAGTCTCTGTAGAAGCTTACACAGATGTTTTTCTGTATTAGGTGCCCGAGATGCACAAAGAGACTGAAGAGACAGACTCGAACAGCTCCCAAACTCACAGATCTGCAAATTTTTAGGTAGAAACCGCAACTCTTTTGTTTGATTGACTATGATCTGATACTTGAATAATAACCACTATTGTGACTGAAAAATGACACTCAAATCCAGCGTACAACCGAGAGACAACAACCTTAAGCTTTCGGTCCAATGGTCCCTGAGGGCAGTAGAAACGACAAATGTCTCGGCCTCTGTAAATGAAAAAGGTAAAGATCTCGTTCTTCTGCTTCTACTTGACTCAACATTTACATATTCAACTACATTTTATTTATGATGCCATGTTTACCATGTATGTACTCCCAAAATGACACCATACGAACTGAAAACATACAATCACTTGAATAACTTGGATCTCTAAACTAGTAACAACTGCGGACTAAAACACATGGGCTCCCAGAAAAGAATGAAGTACGCCCTAGATCTGACCTGAGAACATACATGTAGACCATATGAACAAGAACAGTTTAGAGGACATACTGAAGAACCCATCCCAGACTTGAATAATGACATACTATTCAAGTCCAATGCATGAGTAATAAAACTGAGGAAAAATAATCTGGGTGTTAACTTATGAATCTGGTTAGTTCTGTATAGATGCTCGTTCTATGTCCTGCATGTATTCATATTGGTGCTCTTTGTGTAGGGGTATACGGATCCATAATAGAGCCGATGGAAAAAAGAGTAAACACACAAGCTCAACGAACAAAAACAACAAAGGCCTCAGGACCTAGATCTGAACATCTGGGAGGTAGTATTCGAATCCCTGCAAGTTTAATTGTTGTAGATCTGGTAATAATAGATGTACTCAGTTCTGTGGTGTATGGATCTGTGATTTAACTGTGCTTCCTCCATGCATCACAAAACTGAGCTGCAGAAATTTAACTGCTCAAAATTATGTTTATGTGCTGGATCTGCAACAATCACCCCCAAACTTGCATCTGTGAATGACTTTTTATGTTGACTGCTTTAAATTTCCAGCATAGTGTAGATGTGGTTGATGTTTGAAGGTAGACTTGCTACTGGGTGCAGGATTCCAGCATAGGACGCGCTTTATTTTCTACGTTCGCAACCTGCAATTAACCAATATGTGTTAAAAAATAAAATAAAATAAAATAAAATCAACCTGCAATCTTCCATTTTTAATTTTTTGTTTTTTTTATTATATATATATATATATATATATATATATATATATATTCTTATGTTTTTTGTTAGTGAAAATCAAACAGAATTTAAAATTAGGAAAGAATTTAGAAAAATTGGGTTGCTTCCCAATAAGCGCTTTATTTTAAGTCTGTAGCTAGACGTCGCGGAAGTCCGGTGGCTAGATCACTTGTTCCTTTAGAGTCAAAGACTCGTATCAGTATCAAAAGGTGACTCCACGTATGGTTTCAGCCTGTGACCATTCACCTTGAATGCGTTGCCTTGGGCCTCATTAGTTATTTCAACTGCCCCATGAAAAAAGACTTTAGTAACCAAATATGGCCCAGTCCAGAGAGATTTCAATTTCCCTGGAAACAACTTTAGCCGTGAATTGAATAGCAACACCTTTTGCCCTGGCTGAAATTCTTTCTGTAAAATTTGACTATCATGAAACGCCTTAGTTCTTTCCTTGTAGATGCGAGAACTTTCATAAGCACCCTGACGCATTTCCTCCAGCTCATTGAGCTGCAATTGCCTAGTAAGCCTTATGCTCAAGCTTCATAGGTAGATGACAAGTTTTCCTATAAACGCGTCGAAATGGTGACATCCCAATAGGAGTCTTATAAGCTGTCCTGTAGGCCCACAATGCATCATTTAATTTTAAACTCCAATCTTTACGCGTTGAACCAACTGTTTTCTCCAAAATACGTTTTAATTCTCTGTTTGAAACTTCCACTTGACCAAATGTCTGTGGATGATAAGGTGTAGCCACACGATGATTAATCTCATATTTTGCCAACAAATTAGCAAATGGTTTATTAATAAAATGCTTCCCCCCATCACTAAGAATAACGTGTGGAATTCCAAAATGCGAAAATATAACCTCTTGGAGGAACTTCAGGACCACTGATCTCTGATTAGTTGGTGCTGCAATGGCCTCGACCGACTTAGAAACATATTCCACAGCAACAAAAATATAGTGGTTACCATGAGAAGATGGAAATGGTCCCATGAAATCAATACCCCAAACATCAAATAATTCAACAATTAAAATACTTTGTTGGGGCATCTCGTTCCTTTTGGACTGGTTGCCGACTCTTTGACACCTATCACAAGCCTTGCACCAATTATGTGCATCTTTAAAAAGTGTAGGCCAAAATAACCCACTCTGCAAAATTTTCTCTGCTGTCCTTTCTGCCCAAAGTGTCCCCCACATGCAAAATGATGAGCAAACTTTATAACACTTTCCTGTTCTACCTCAAGAATACACCTGCGAATAATCTGGTCTGGGCAATACTTATATAGGTATGGCTCATCCCAGAAATAATGCTTTACATCAGATAAAAACTTCTTTTTCTGCTGAAACGTTAAATCTGGATGCACTACACCTTTAATCAAGTAATTAACAATATCAGCAAACCAAGGTGTTCTGATTTGTACTGCAAATAGTTGTTCATCTGCAAAACTCTCACCTAATGGTAGGGAATCCTCTTTGGAAGCCGTGGGAATAATTAATCTAGATAAATGGTCAGCCACCACATTTTCACTACCCTTTTTATCTCTGATTTCTAAGTCAAATTCTTGCAATAAAAGAATCCAACGAATCAATCGAGGCTTAGCATCTTTTTTAGACAACAAATATTTCAAAGCTGCATGATCTATAAAGACAATCACTTTAGCCCCAACTAAATATGAACGAAATTTTTCCAATGCAAAAACTACTGCCAACAATTCTTTCTCTGTGGTTGCATAGTTGAGTTGTGCATCATTGAGGGTTCGACTAGCATAATAAATAATTTGGGGAAGCTTATCTTTCCGTTGTCCAAGAACTGCTCCCACTGCATAATCTGATGCGTCACACATCAATTCAAAAGGTAAGCTCCAATTAGGGGTTGCAATAATGGATGTTGTAGTGAGTAGTGTCTTTAACTTCTTGAAGGCCTCCAAACAAGCCTCATAAAAAACAAAAGGAGCATCCTTAGCCAATAAATTACACAATGGTCAGCTAATCTTGGAGAAATCCTTAATGAACCGTCTATAAAACTCAGCATGGCCAAGAAAAGATCGTACACTCTTAACAGTTGTTGGGGGTGGCAACTTTTCAATTGCATCAATTTTAGCCTTATCAACCTCAATACCCCTGTTAGAAATCAAGTGGCCTAGGACAATTCCCTGCTTAACCATGAAATGACACTTTTCCCAATTTAAAACCAGGTTGGTCTTAATGCACCTTTCAAGAACTAGAGATAAATTCTGCAAACATTGGTCAAAAGAATCCCCAAAAATAGCAAAGTCATCCATAAATACCTCAACTACATGTTCAACTAACCCGGTAAATATGCTCATCATGCAACCCTGAATCGTGGCAGGCGCATTACACAAACCAAAAGGCATTCTTCTATATGCGAAAGTCCCAAAAGGACAAGTAAAGGTTATCTTTTCTTGATCCTCAAGGGCAACTGGAATCTGGTTATACCCCGAATAGCCATCCAAGAAACAATAAAATGCACGTCCAGCCAACCTTTCCAACATTTGATCAGTGAATGGCAATGGAAAATGATCTTTTCTAGTACCCGCATTGATCTTTCTATAATCAACACACATACGCCACCCAGTAGTCAAACGAGTAGGCACAAGTTCATTATTATCATTCTTCACAACTATAATACCATAACGCTTTGGCACCACTTGAGTTGGACTAATCCACTTACTATCTGAAATGGGGTAGATCATCCCAGCATCTAAAAGCTTCATAACTTCATTACAAACAACTTCTTTCATAATTGGATTCAATCGATGTTGAGCGTCAATGGCAGGCTTTACTCCATCCTCCATCAAAATTTTGTGCATACAAATTGTAGGGCTGATCCCTTTAATGTCAGCTATAGTCCAACCAATTGCATCTTGATAGCTTCTTAAAATGCGTACAATTTATCTTCTTCTGTTGATGATAAATCAGCAGCAATAATAACTGGCAGCGAAGAATCTGCACCCAAATAAGCATATTTCAAGTGTTCAGGAAGCATTTTTAATTCCAATTTAGGTGGTTGCACCTTAGAAGGCTGCAGCAGTTTTTTGGGTTCCCCCAAACTCTCAAAAATGTGCCTCCAACGTGGGGGTTGAAAATGAACACTTTCCAAAGCTGAAACATACTCAAAAACCTCTTCATCTTCTGTATTTTTATTCTCAAACCCATGCAACACATTTAACAATGGATCAGATGTCAAACGTGGCATAATTTCAGCATGTAATAAGCTGTTAAGCACGTCAACACGCATACAATCTTGCACATCACCTGGCCTTTTAGTAGCTTCAAACAAACTGAACACAACAGATTGATCTTGCACTCTAAGTGTAAGTGTTCCAGCCTCTACATCAATTAATGTTCTAGCAATTGCCATGAAGGGACGTTGATGCGAATAATATAAGCACACAAATTAAACCCTCTTTTTGACAATTGTAGCAAAGTATGTAAGTAGGGATCGTTCTAAACCGGGGATTAGGAGGGCTTGCTAAAACCTCTAAACTGACTCAAAAACAAAAAGAAACAAAGTTAAAAATGTAAACAAAAGACTTTAAAACAAGAAAGTAAAAGGGGGATTTGAGTTTGGTGAAGTTGAAAGTAAAAACGAATAAACTAAAAACTTAAATAGATTTTAAACAAATTTGGGTTGAATGGATAATGGAAGGCTAGCTAAGGGGTTCTTCTCCACACATGTCTTGCTTGCATACAAAATGATTTCCAATTGCTCTTCGATAAGTTATGAATACTCAACGCCCCAAATTACCGTGAATTGCACTAATTAACTCTCAGTTTTTCAACAAGTTATTAGATTGGATGATTGCATACGACAACCCAAAACATTCCCTACAAGTTCCCTACATGAATTGCATAATAGAGATACAAGCAAGAATCATTAAGTTCTATGAAAAACATAAGCATTGACGAGGCACTCGTTACTATGATTTGCATGAAACTTATGCCAAGAATTTACTTAACGTGATTGTGACTAGCAACCTTCACTACTTGTGAATATAAGTTCATAACGATTAGGTGAAACTCCCTTATATTCTAGCGTCAAATTCATGCATGAAAATTAAGCGTGCACTCTCAACCAACATACACAAATTAGTTTTTATATACGAACGGATAAGTAAATTGAATTCACAATTCAAGAAACGCAATTGGAAGTAATCAAATCATATAGCAAGCATAAACACATGGTTTTTGAATCCCCCCCTAGCCAAGGGGGGTTTAGTTCCTCATTATTACAAAACAAAGATAAACAAATTTAACCATTGAAAAACAAAGGGAAGAAAGCACCTAAACGTTCCAACGATCCATGTTGGATAGCAAGCGCGTCCAAGGACTTTTCTCCTTCTCCTTGCCGCCACAACAAGGTTGGAATGATGTTGAAGGGTTGGTTATTTGGAGGAATGGATGGGAAGGGGTTTAGATATGTAGGAAAGGCAAGGAAAGGCTTGGAGAATGGTTAATTTCTGGATGATTTGAATGAGGTTGCTGCCATGGTATTTATAGGAAGAGGATGGACATGTTTAATGCAAAAATCTGGTGGAATGAAGTAGGTAAGGCATGGCAAGGTAGAGAATTGTTGGTGAGGGTAGGTTTTGAGTCATCCACTCACATGTCATGGTGAGTTAAGCATTGCATCATCCACTCAAATGTCATGGTGAGTTAGGCATTGCATCATCACTAAAAAAAATCTGGTGGAAGTAAAACAAAGGGAAGGCCACGGCATTGATGAATTTTATGGGGTATGCATGGTTTTGAGTGAAGTTTTGGCCAATCCTTCTAGAAATTTATCCCTTCTTGCAACTTGTATTTGTTTCACCAGATTTTTAGCATGTTCCTAGCCTCTTTTGTCTTCAAATTCGTCCATCCATCTTGCTCATATCATATGTAATCCATTACAGCTCAAAACTGCTCCAAAATGCACCAAAATGCACTTTCTTGCTACCTTAGCCCTTTGGACCTACAAACACACGAAAATGGCTTAAAGTACTAAAATAACTAAGAACTAATAACGTAAATGCAAGAAAACTAGTTAACTAAGTCGCATAAATATGCGTCTATCAGACGTCCCAAAATAATCGGTGTTTGCATATCTTCATCCATATCCAAAATCACAAAATCTGCATGAAGATAGAAATTATCCACTTTAATAATTAGGTCTTCAATAATTCCCCTAGGATAAGCAACTGAATGGTCCATTGTTGTAGAATAACTGATGTAGACTTGATTTCTCCTTGTCCTAGTCTTTGAAAAACAGAAAAAGGCATTAAATTAATATTAGCACCCAAATCAATTAAAGCACGTTTAAAATTAGAATTTCCAATTGTGCATGAAATTGTAAAACTCCATAGATCTTGTTTCTTTGGGGGCAACTTGTGTAGTAGAACAGCGCTGCATTATTCTGTAAGAATTACTTTTTCAAAATCAACAAGCTTCTTTTTCTTTGTGCAAACATCCGTCAAAAACTTGGCAT